TGAAGTGGACTTTCTAGAGTCCAAATCTCCACCCAAATCAGCATCACTATAGCCATTAAGTAAAGATTCATGCTCACCATAACATAAGCACATGTGAGATGTACCTCTAAGATACCTAAAAATCCACTTAACTGCTGCCCAATGTTGCTTGCCAGGATTGGATAAAAATTTGCTCACTACCCTCACTGCGTGAGCTATATCTGGCCTTGTGCATACCATAGCATACATTAGACTACCAACTGTAGAAGCATAGGGCACATTCTTCATGTATTCTGCTTCCTCCTTGCTTGTTGGACACTGCTCTGTGCTAAGTTTAAAATGGCCAGCAAGTGGAGTGCCCACAGGTTTTGCTTTACTCATGTTGAACTTGTCAAGCACCTTTTCAATATATCTTTCTTGTGACAACCACAGCTTCTTGTTCTTTCTATCTCGGAAAATTTTCATTCCAAGAATTTGCTTTGCTGGACCCAAATCCTTCATAGAAAAGGACTTACTCAAGTAAGTCTTCAAGGTTGCAATTTTCTTTGTGTCATGACCAACAATCAACATGTCATCCACATAAAGCAAAAGTATCAAGAAATCACCATCTGGATACCTCTTAACATAAACACAATGATCAGATTTTGTTTTAGTGAATTTATGCTCCCCCATAAAAGAGTCAAACTTACGGTACCATTGCCTCGGAGCTTGTTTGAGACCATACAAACTTTTCTTCAATTTACAGACCAGATTCTTCTTGCCTTGCACCTCAAAGCCCTCTGGTTGCTTCATATAAATCTCCTCCTCAAGATCACCATGGAGAAAAGCTGTCTTAACATCCAGCTGTTCAATTTCTAAATTCAAGCTAGCTGCCAAAGCCAAAATAGCTCGAATAGATGGCATTTTTACTACTGGTGAGAAAATCTCATCATAATCAATGCCCTTTTGTTGTCTAAAGCCCTTCACCACTAATCTAGCTTTGAACCTTGGATTGGGATTGTTCACTTCAGACTTTACTCTGAAAACCCACTTGTTGTTAAGAGCCTTTTTGTCCTTTGGAAGCTCTACCAGCTCATAAGTCCCATTCTCTTGCAAAGAACTCATTTCTTCTTGCATTGCCATCAACCATTCCTTCTTGTTTTCACTCTCCATAGCTTCATAATAAGTTTCTGGCTCTCCCCCGTCAGTCAGGAGCACATACTCATTAGTGGAGTACTTCTGAGATGGTTGATGAAGTCTAGTGGACCTCTTAACTTGAGGTTGCTGTGGTGGTTGCACTTGCTCTTCTTGGTTTGTTTCTTCTTCAACAAAATGTTCAACAACAGGCCCTTGAACTTGCTGCTCATCTACTTCACTGTCATCATCATTCATAACACTCGGTTTAGGTGTTGGAGTACAATAATCAGTGTTTGGTATTTCTTGAGTGTGCTCGCTGTCATCTTGCTTCTTTGAGTCTTCAACCGTCTCATTCTCAATGAACACCACATCTCTGGTTCTCATTAATTTTCTGTTTTTCAAGTCCCATAATCTGTAGCCATACTTCTCTTCACCATATCCCAAGAATACACATTGTTTGTCTTTTCATCAAGCTTTGCTCTCTCCTCTTTTGGAACATGCACATATGCCCTGCAGCCAAATACCCTCAAGTGCTTGTAGGATACTTCTTTGCCTGACCAAATCTTCTCCGGAACATCACCATTTAGAACAACAGAAGGGGATCGATTTATCAAGTACACTGCAGTCTTCAAAGCCTCCCCCCAAAAAGGCTTTGGCAATTTAGCATGAGAGAGCATACAGACAATTCTGTCACATATTGTTCTGTTTATCCTTTCAGCAACTCCATTATGCTGTGGAGTTCTAAGAGTGGTCTTCTCGAGCTTAATTCCTTGTTCTCTACAGTAGCGCTCAAACTGTCCACTGTATTCACCACCATTATCAGACCTGATGCACTTTAATTTCCTCCCAGTTTCTCTTTCTGTCATTGCCTGAAATTCTTTAAATTTCTCTAGCACTTGATCTTTACTAAACAAGGGATAAGCCCACAATTTTCTAGAAAAATCATCCACAAAAGTCACAAAATATGTAGCACCACCTAGACTTTTATCTTTCATGAAGCAAACATCAGTATGAACCAAATCAAGTGCGTATTTTCTTCTAGACAGAGGTAAAGTGTGAAAAGAAACTCTATGATGCTTGCCATCTAAACAATCAGCATAGGTTTTAGAAAGATTACGTGTAAAGTCGGGTAGGAGTTCCTTTTTGCTAAGGATTTGAAGTCCCTTCTCACTCAAGTGCCCAAGTCTCTTGTGCCATAACTCAGTAGCATCAGCTTCTGTAACATTGATCTATCCCTGACACTGTTTTGCTTGAGTTTCATGGAGTGAAAATCTCTTCTTGCCTCTTGCCACAACCATAGTGCCCTTTGTGAGTTTCCAAGTCCCCTTACCGAAATAATTAAGGTAGCCATCATCATCTAGCATACCCGTAGACATCAAATTGAGACGTATTTCAGGAACATGTCTCACATTTTTCAAGTGCAGCTTGGATCCGATGTTTGTTTCAAGCCAAACATCACCAACACCCACAATCTTGGCTTCGGATCTGTTTCCCATCTTCAAAGACCCAAAATCACCTTCTTTATATGAGCTAAACCAGTCTCTATTTGGTGTGACATGATAAGAAGCAACAGTATCAACAACCCATGTAGAATCATGATGAGCAACATCAATGCTATTATTCTCACACAGCAAGTATACCTCACCATTAGAAGTAATTGCAGTAATGTTTTCCTTGGCTTCCTTCTCTTCATGAGTATCAGCCCTCTTCTTAACATATTTATCTTTGTTGTGCCAACAATCCCTTTGAAAATGACCTTGCTTTCCACAAGTGTAACAAGTCAATATGCTCTTGGATTTTGATCTGCCTCTGGACTTCCCCTTGTTGTACCTCTCTTGAGACTGTCTGTCATTGTCTCTTCGAATATACCTTTGCTTACTCCTCCCTCTATACTCAGTAACCAGTGCTTCAGACTCAGAACTCATAATTCCTTGCTCTTTTCTTCTGGATTCCTCACTCAATATGCTGTCCTTGACCAATTGCAGAGTCATCTCCCCATCTCTTGTTGAGTTGCTTAAAGTTACCACCAAAGTCTCCCAACTATCCGGAAGAGAGCTCAATAAAATCAATGCTTGTACCTCATCATCAATGGCCAACTTCACTGTAACTAGTTCATTCAAAATTTCTTGAAAATTATTTAAGTGCTCAGACACATTCTTGCCCTCCTTGTACTTGAGATTGACTAGTTTTCTAATGAGGGAAGCTTTCTTCAAGGCATTCTTTCTTTCAAACAGCTCTTCAAGCTTAGTCCACAACTTATAGGACTCCTTCTCTTGACCCACATGATGAATCACACTCATGTCAACCCATTTACAGATTACGGCATAAGCTTTGCGATCAATCTTTTTCCAATCAGCATCATTCATTTCTGCAGGTTTGATGCCTTTGTGCTCAATTGGATCATAGAGGTGTTTACAAAACAACTTGTCCTCCATCAGAGTCTTCCACAAAGAGTAATTAGAGGTGTTCAACTTAATCATGGTTGAACCATCTTTTTCATCTGCCATGGTTGCTGGAATGAAAAAAAAAATCACCCAAATCTCACTTGGGAATTTTCACAAACACCTTGTGTGCAAAGCCTGCTCTGATACTAGTTGTTGAGGTTTTAATGGTCCAATGCCCAAAATCAAACCAATCAGCAACACAATCAAACACCCAAGAACAGAATAAGTAAACAAAGTAAAATAAAGAGGACACCAGAATTTTTACGTGGAAAACCCAAATGGGAAAAACCACGAAGCACTTACTCAGATGAAAAATCAATCCACTACTGAAAATGGTTTACAATTTTCGAATCATAATCCGAATCTCTCAAAGTTCTAACACCAACAAGGGAGATTTTCTCTCAACCTCACTCTGTTTTTCTGCACTGCTTTCCCTCTCTGTTTTTCACGCTCTCACCAATCTGCACTCTTTTCAAATTTTAAACAAGAGATTAAATAGGAAGCTTTTGGATACAAGAATAGTGTAACACTATCCTATCAGGGACTAACATGTCAGCATATCCAAAGTTGGAGGAGTCCACTTTGCTTTTCCCATTTCTTCAACAATAAGAAAAGTCCGTGTCGGAAACCACTGTTCATCTTCAAAACCAAACCTTCCAAGTTTCTGCCATGCGCCATGCACTCCAAGTGCACCTCCATTGTTGAGCCACCCAACTTGGGAGGGCTAGCTCAACAATAAATGGTGGGATATCCAAACTGCGGGGCTGATAATTGTTGGGAATCATTTGTGCAACATGATGGCCTAATTCTTGCTCCATGATTGAAGTCGGGATGGACAAGATTTGGTTCATATTAACATGTATGTTTTGGCTCACCAGAAACACGGTGCTATTCAATAGCGAAGAGTTAGACATAGATAGAATGTTCGATGTTATTCAAGTAAGAGCTTTTCTATGGCTAAAATATAGAGGAAAGGATCCACATTTCTGCTTCTC